CTAATAGAGGAGATAAATGGAATGAATACAATACACTTAATTGAAAACCAAGTAGAGAAGGAGGAATAAAGGAACGAAGAACAGATGGGATAAATAGAAAAAAAAATAGCAAGTAGGTAGAATTAAAGCAACTATTTCAGTCATTATGTAAGTAAGTACACTAAGCACTCCAAAAAGAAAGATATAGTAGATATTTTAAAAATAGAAGACTCAATTATAGGTTCTTTATAAGAAATATATTTTGAAATTTAGCATTCTTATCTGAGAAGCAATGAGCCATAGCTTCAGAGATGAAGCACTCTGGGTTTGAATTTTAACTTCTAATTATTAACTGTTCAAACTTGAGTTACATAACTTCTCTGAGTTTTAGTTTCCTCATCTATAATAAAAGAACAATAATATGTATCTAATAGGGTTGATGTGTGAATGAAATAAAATTAATGAGAAAATCTAGGGCAGTGACTGGTAGACCCTCAATAAATGATAGATATTATTTTTACTCTCAGCACCAACACCCCCCCATCCCAGTCTCTCTTAGGGAGGTACTCTTACATTTTGGTTAATAGCCAGGGTGATAGAATTACATTACTTGACTTTTAATTCCAGCTCTATCAGTTATTAGCCACGCAACCTTGAGTAAGGTGTTAAAACTCCCTACATCTTGGTTTTCCCACTTGTAAAATGGGTACTTCTCAGAATTATGAAAGTAAAATGAAGTCCTCTGTTAAGACACAGTAGATTTCCTGGAACATAATGAGTACTCTCTACATGGCAGCCAGAGTAACTATTAAAACATAAGTCAGGGCCAGGTGCAGTGGCCCACGCTTGTAATCCCAGCACTTTGGGAGGCTGAAGCGGGCAGATCACCTGAGGTCAGGAGTTCCAGACCAGCCTGGCCAACGTGGTAAAACCTCGTCTCTACTAAAAATGCAAAAATTAGCTGGGTGTCGTGGTGGGCACCTGTAATCCCGGCTACTCAGGAGGCCAAGGCAGGAGAATTGCTTGAACCTGGGAGACAGAGGTTGCAGTGAGCTGAGATCACACCGTTGCACTCTAGCGTGGGCAACAAAAGTGAAACTCTGTCTCAAAAATAAATAAATAAATAAATAAATAAAGTCAGATCATGTCAATCATTTGTTCAAAAGTTTCTATTGTTCCATTGTACTAAAGTTTCTAAAGTTCCATTGTACTTACAGGAAAAGCCAAAATCTTTACACCTACCTTCAAGGTACTTCAAGATCTATTGGCCGGGCGCAGTGGCTCAAGCCTGTAATCCCAGCACTTTGGGAGGCCGAGACGGGTGGATCACAAGGTCAGGAGATCGAGACCATCCTGGCTAACACGGTGAAACCCCGTCTCTACTAAAAAAAAAAAATTCCAAAAAACTAGCTGGGTGAGGTGGCAGGCACCTGTGGTCCCAGCTACTCGGGAGGCTGAGGCAGGAGGATGGCGTAAACCCGGGAGGCGGAGCTTGCAGTGAGCTGAGATCCGGCCACTGCACTCCAGCCTGGGCGACAGAGCCAGACTCCGTCTCAAAAAAAAAAAAAAAAAAAAGATCTATTGCTCCTTTGAACTCATGTCCTAGTTACCTCTCTGTGCTCATGTAACTAGTCACCCCCTTGCTTACTCCAGTTACCTTAGACATACTGGCCTCCTTGCACTTCCTTCAGATTCATGGCAAGTCAGTCATGCTGTAGTCTCAGGGTCATTGCCCTTGAAGATTTCATTAAGGTTCTTCCCTCTGTGACCACCCACACCTGCCACTCACATCAACATAGCTTGCTGCTTTACCACTGTTTGGTCTTGCTTAAATGTATTATTCAGAGAGGGCATACAAGACTATCCTAAGTAAAACTGTATCTCACTGCCCCACCAACTCCACTTCCTGATCTTACTTCCTTGGTTTGTTTTTCTGCTTAGGAGAAATCAACAGTTAACATTCCTTTCCATGATAATTATGTGTGAGTTTACTGTATGCCATCTTCCATAACAGTGTAAAGCCACGAGGGCAGGGATTTTTGTCTCTGATCACTGTTATAGCCCCTAGCACTTTGATGACTACCTGGTAGATAGTAGGTACTCAAGAAGTATTTATTAAATCAAAGAATTTCAAAGGTAGTCACCATTATTATTTATTTCTTTGGTCATTTCTTCCTTCTTTAGTAACCATTGGGGATACTGGACCATAACTGAATTCAAAACATAGCTAAGCCTAGTAGTCATTTCTTCAAGGACTTCACTTCCCTTCTGAATTCTCTGACCATGGCCATTCCTCCTGTTTTACCCACTCACAGCATTGATCTCTGTTTTGTGATTCTTTGGTTTAAGTGTTTCTTTTCCACTAGACCCATATCAGTAGAGACCTCATTTATTTTTGCTTGCCTCTCTATTCCCAAACTTTGTACAGTGTGCTTGGCACATAAAATGAATGCAACAATGAATGAATGATCAATATGGGCTCTCATTCTTTTTTTGCCTATAATAAAACTAATTTTGCACATTGTTTGTCCTCTCTGGCTGTGCTATGTTTAGTGTTTGTTTGTGGATGATAAACTTTCCTCATTAACACTGCACTGTATGACTTAAGCTAAGCTGTGTGCTAGTAGGTATTCACAACTGTTTCTCTTTGGTTTGTGTTCAGAGTAAAAGTTAGAAGAGCAATAGGTTGCTAGTTAGCAAAAAATCCATTTACTATTGCTCATGTCTGTGAAAATATCCAATTAATATTATGCATTAAAATTTCACAATAAGGATGACCCTGGAGATCAGACTAGTACGAAAAAGAACAAAGTGAAGATAGAAGCATTCTTCTTTGTAGAAATAGGAAGATTATGGCAACTGTAGCAAGGCCAAGAGAAAGGAATGGTTATTTATTGGAAGGCTGTCATACCAGATTCCATTCAAAGTACTTTGCATTTATGATCCCATTTGAACTAAGCCATATTGGCAAATGTGGAAATGTGTGCGTGTGTTTTTATGTGTGCATATTGTGGGTGTTTGAAAGTAGCAGGCGCTATCCCTGTCTCTGCTTTATATTAGCTATGCAATCTTGAGCAGGTCAATTAATGCCCCTGAGCTTCTGCTTATACATACCAGCTTGGAGATCAAATAAAATAATGGATTTGAATAGTCTTTGAAAATATCGAGAACAAGTGTGTGTGTGTCCATGTGTATGTGTGTGCGATGTTACAGGGGTCAAAGCAACAACCTTTTCCTTTGGATACATAATAATTTTGCATGTCCCCAGGTGAAAGGTTAGTATCACCTTATTACCCATTTACTTATTGCAACTCAGTCCAGAAAAATATATTAAACACCTGTGATGTGCCAGACTCCATAAGGACATGGAGAATAAAATGAACTAAATATGATCCTGCCTCATAGAGTTCACACTTGAGAGGAGGAAGCATATGGGCATAAAAATAACTATAAAACTCATGGCAGAGTATACAGAATGCTATTAGTGGCATTTTACAAACAAGACACTAGGAAATCACACTCAATAATTTATTCAATCAATGCTTACTGATTACCAACTATGGGCGAGGCATTTTTCTAGAACCCAGAGAGATTACGGTGTACAAGAAAGACAAGGAGCCTGTTTTCATGGGGCTTACATTCTGGTGTGTGGAGACAGAGAACACCCTGATAATGCCATGGATAAATAAAATAATTTCAATTAATTACTGTGTTGAAATAGAACATGGTAATGTGATAATGAGTTCAGTTGAGGGGTGGGATAGAAGGTGGTCAGCTCTGATACCTGAGCTGAGGCTAGAATAAGAATGAAGTAGATTTGTGAAGAATTTATGAAGATCTTCCACCCTGAATGAACAGCAAGAGCTGGGATTAGGAGACAAAAATGAGCTTGTGGGGCTTTAGATCTGAAAGAAGGGATATGTAAAAGCATGCTGTGACAAGTGAGAAAGTGATATGAGATGAGGAGCGATGAGCGAGGGTGGATAGGGGCAGATGGCACATTACATTTTGGCTATGGTGAAGAATTTGGGGTTTAATCAAGGTGCCATGGGAAGCCACTGAAGGTTCTAAAAAGAGAAGAGAGAGGATTTGATTTCCATTTTAAAAGAGCAATCTCGTTGCTATGTGGCAAGTGAGGACTGCAGTGGGGAGACAATGAATTCAGGAAAACCAGACAAGAGGCTATTTTTGTAATTCAGGTGAATGATGATGAAGGGTGACCTGTAACTAAACTAGGAACAGTCTAGGTGGTGAGAAAGACACAGATGCAGGATATATTTTGGAGGTAAGCCAACAAGAGTTGGAAGAAGAGGAGAAAGGTTGTTTCTAAATAAAGAATGCTTCCGTTTCTATCTTTAGTTCAGAAGCCTTTTATGTCAAACATTATAGCAGCTAATAAATTGATTCTATAAATATATCTAATGTACATTTAAGCTAATATTAAATTTCTTTGGGTCTTCAGAGTTTGTATTGTAAAAATAACACAAAATAAAAACGCTTAATAAAGAAAGTTGTAAAATACAGAAAAGCAAAATTCTTGATAAAAATATATATTATAAAATACGCTACATACATATCTAAGATGAGAATGCCTATTTTTTCCCTTAGAAATGTGATTTGATCTCGTATTTGGGGGCGGGAGGGGCATGCTGCTGTGTTGTACCAGGTTTTGCCTCTTTTTCTGCAGCATCTTTCAAGAACTGAAAACAATTTAACAACGTTATCACAAACGTGGACATTTATTTCATCAAATATGAGAGGTGACTTCCACCATTGGGGCAAACGGACCTGGAAATGCCGAGATGTCCCAGGAAGTCTGGAGCTGATGGAGCCCGCTTCCATCTCACCAAGACCTTAAATACAATACACAGTCCCCGCTGCAAATCCATTCCCATCCGTGCTTTGAGACGGAAGGAGGGAAATTGCAACTATTTACAGCAACCGCCATCTGAGCAAGGACTGAGTCATGCAGTACCTCGGGAAAGCTAGGTTGGAAACCCTTGTCAACATGCAGTCAAGTCTATGGTTAGAACTGGCCAGAGTGCGCCCTGCATCTGCGGGAGGGTCCCGGGGCCGTCTCGAATTTGTTTTTTTTTTGTTTGTTTGTTTGTCTGTTGTTTTTTTTAGCCCTCTCTCTAAGGGCTAAGGATTCCATCGAGGTAAGGAATGGGCGGGAATGAGTCCTCAGCTGGCGCGCCGGGGGAGCGCGGCTGGGAGCAGCGGGGCCACAGCTCGGCGGTGTGGATCCTCCCCCTGCCCGCCCAGAGCCGACCCGGGGCTGGAAGTCCGGGGCAGCCTGCGAGGCTGCAGTGTGGCACGCACCAGCTCCCGGCGGCGTCCTCTCCCCCGCCGCGCGCAGTAATGGATCTCTGCGTCCTAAAAGAGGAAGATAATGCCGGGGTTAGCTTATAAATAGATGGTTGCATGCTCTCCCTGCGAAGCATTGATTGAGGCCGCTAAGCTGACTATTGATCTAATTTTAACTTACATGTTCGCACGCACCCTTCCCGCCTCCCTGTCGCGGCTTGGCGGAGCGCGGGGCACGCTGTCTCTCGCGGCCGCCAGAGGGCGGGCCACTAGTCCTCCCGCCACCCTGCCCGTCTGGCCTCTCTGTTTACGCAGACGTACAATGCTGGCCTTTATTGGGTTTGAAAAAATAGGAGTTTGATTTTCCTGCACCGGGATGACCTCATCATTCATGAAAGTCGGAGGAAAGCGGGGAATCGGATGACAGGCAGCCGGGAAAATAAAGCTTGCATTTCACCTCCGCCTACTTCACCACCTACACAGAGCACTCGGGATGTGCTCCTCATTTTAAAACCACCTTGCTGAAGCGGGGAAGTGGGGGAGGCACTAGGAGTGGAATGTTAAATTCTTCTTGGTACTCTGGCACTCGGTGTGCAGCGGCTTCTGTTTAGAAGGTTAATGTCACCTACTCTCTGCCTACAGAGCCTCTTGTAAGGGCGCTCTCCTGAACTGTCACTAAATGCCAGTGCAACAATTTTATTGTTGACTTGACTAACATATTACTAATTATTTCTAGGCAGAATTCATCTTGCCAAAGTTTAAGCAATGGTCATCAGCAATTTTATACTGCTGGCTTGTAAATTTCGAATCCGCTTATGGCTTCAAATGAGTAAGGTAGAGAATTAGAATCTATCATAGTTTTGCTTGCCGCCTTTTGGGACCACAGCACATCAGGATGGGGGTATAGGGTAAAGTAAATGAGACGGAAAGGGAGACAGAAGACAAAGAAAGATGCCTCCCCTGAAATTCCCCAGCCCTAGAACTCAGCACGTGAACAAACTTTCCTCTGGGATTGAGTGAAACCTATTAATAGGAGTCAATGTTTATCAGACACTTGCTGTGTCCCAGACATTGTACTAACTGTTTTATATTTGTTACTTCATTAAATTCTGAAGACAACCTATCAGTTAGATTCTATTATTATCCATATTTTAGAGTTGAAAAAAACTGAGGCTAGCTGCACAAAGTCGATTAGCTAGACAGGGACTGAACCAAGATTCAAACCTCTGTAGGGGCTGACCCAGAGCCTTGCTTCACATCACCATGTCGAGTGTTTTGACGACATGCCTACCCTTGGCAAAGTCTTAAACTCTCTGCATCTCTAAGCAAAGGAGGGTGCATGTGAAGAGAGATGGCCACTTTCAAATAAGGCCTATCTAGGCCAAAATGGAAAAGCTCTTCATAGGGAGAGCTCTTGCAAAAGTGAAAAACTGACAAAAAAATGATCATCTGCAGTGTTGCTCCTGATAATAGCTTATAGGATGGAAATAAAGTAACCAGAAGAAAGAAACTTTTATTAAGGGGCCCCCACCTGTCTATTCACACCACAAAGATTTGTGTGCAGTGAACTGGCCATTGTGGTGGTCACTTAAGTCTTGTGATGAGGAAGACAGAAGTGCTCTATCCCCTCATGGAACCTCGTGAGAGAAAGGGGTTATAACTAAGTGAACAATCAAACACATAATTATAATTTGTGATGATTACAAAGGGCCCCGGTATACTTGGGAGGAGGGAGTCAAGAAAGCCTGTCTGAGGAAATGCCATTTACACGGAGAGACACAACGTGGGTAAGGGTTAGCCGGATCCAGGATGGGCCTGAGCATAATATGGAGGGATATGAGGAAGCCTTGAGGAGAAACTGGTGTTGGGGAATGAGTGGGAGAGGAGGCTGGAGAGTTCATGTGGTATCTGATAAGCCAGAGTAAAGATCTGCAACATCATCTTAAGTACAATGGGGATAACCCCCTTAACTCTCCCAGTTTCTGGCTTGAGGCACTGGATTGAATGAGGCATCATTTACTAATCCAGATGACATGAAAAGAGGAGCAAGTTGGGGAACCCTTGGTTTGGGCCTTTCCTATTTGAAGAGTGAACGCTGCTGACCACAGAAAAGAGACTTCAAAAGTAAGTTTTGAGTGACTTATTGATACGGACAGGAGACAGGGAAATACTGGATAGAAGAGGGTGGTTCCCCAGCAAAGACCCCACCCTCAAGCCTGGATACCCGCAGCCCTAAATGAGGACAGGCATTCTTGTTTTTGTTCCCAAAAAGTTGCCTTTTGGCCCACCACACCCCCTAACCTGTACCCATATAAACCCGAAACCCCAGGCTTCAGAGGCAGACTAGGAGACAAGGAGACACACAGATGAACGGCGGAATGGCGCAGCAGAGAAAGAGAGAAGAGAAGGAGCAGCTGAAGGCTGAGAGGAGATTGGCTGGGGAAAGTCGGAGAGGAGTTTGGCAACTGGACGGCCAAACTCCAGGGCAAGATCATCTTCCCACTCCCTCGCCGCTTTCAGCTCCCCATCCATCCTGCTGAGAGCCACCTCTACCACTCAATAAAACCCCTGCATTCATCCTTCCAGACTGTGTGTGATCCAATTCTTTTGGGATGACCGGGTACCAAGGGGCCAATGAACTTGTTAACACTTAAACCACCTGTGGATGGCCGAGCTAAAAGAGCATTGTAACCCTGGGGTCACAGGTAGCCACCCCTAGACGCTGCTGTGGGGTCAGAGCTCAAAAGTGCTCGCCCCAATTCCTGCACCTGCCTGTCTGCATGCTCCCCCTCCTCTAAGGGGCTTGAGCTCGTGGAGGTCGAACAGAGAGTTGTACCCCTTGTCACACACCCTGCAACGGGGGCCAGAGAACTCTCCCATTTCATTATCATTTTTTTGTTGAAGTGACCTGTTTATCATCCTTGTTATCATTGCCCCCACTGTCAAGAAGGTCAGCTTTAGTACTGCTATGTGTGAAGTGGAAGAAGAAAACAAGAAAGCTGTGGTATGTGTACTTGCTTTTTGATATGGTTTGGATCTATGTCCTCACCCAAATCTCATGTTCAATTGTAATCCCCAGTATTGGAAATGGGGCCTGGTAGGAGGTGATGGGATCATGGGGACAGAGTTCTCATGAATGGTTTAGCACCAGCCCCCTGGCACTGTTCTCCAGATCCTGAGTGAGTGAGTTATTGTGAGATCTGGTTGTTTAAAAATGTGTAGCACCTCCTCCCGACACTTGGTCCTGCTCCTACCATGTAAGATGCCTGCTCCGGCTTTGCTGTCTACCATGAGTAGAAGCTTCCTGAGGCCTCCCCAGAAGCAGGTGCAGCACCATGCTTCCTGTACAGCCTGTGGAACCGTGAACCAATTAAATCTCTTTACTTTATAAATTACCCAGTTTCAGGTATTTCTCTATAGTAGTGTGAGAAAGGACTCATATTTTTGTTACAAAACCTGGAGTCTGTGGCCGCCAAACTGAAAAAAACAACAAGCAGCAACTCTTTATTTGTATATCACTTGCGGGACCAGTAAGGGCATTGTGGTTTATAGCCATACATATGAGGAGAATCACAGAGAATTATAATTGGAAAGGATCTCATTACACTCATTAGGAAACCAAAGACCCAGAGATGAAGTGATTTGTCCAGGGTCACACAGCAAGCATGTAAGTGAACAAAAGCAGGGGTCAGCAGACAGGTCTCCGGTTCTTTCTTATGCTACCCTGCCTCTCAAGGGTTAAGACTTTCTCTGTTAGACACATATGCCTTATTCATAAGGAGAGGCTGCCAGGCTCTTATTAAACCGGGGAATACACTTTCATTCAAACTCTGAGAAATGCAAGTGTCTAGACAATACATTCTCCCCACCATTCTGCAATTCTCCAGGACAAGAACCCCAACTTCCCTTAGCATAGCTTGGCATTTGGCTAGACCTGAAGTCATCCAGCTTCTGGCAACAGACCATTCTCCAGGCAGTGGGTATGGACAGATTGTTTTCTTCCTCAGCTCCAGTAGGATGTGCTCTTGCCTGTGGGAGCCTGCCAATAATAAACGAAGAGTCGATCACCTGCTATGCATCAGACCCTTTACCTACTGAGCTCTCCTAAGTTATCATAAAGACTGGCTGGTCCTTTCCTTCTTCCTCATTCCTTTGAAAATTTTCGAATTGGAGTGGAACTAGAAATCATTATCCTGTACAAAAGAAGCATCTCTGCTTTAGAGTCATGGCAATGTCTGTTTCTTCTTCCTGATATGTGTAGAAACATGAGATGAAATCAGTTGTCCCACGACTTTGACTTATTAAGAGTGGAAACATGATTAAATTTTGCCACTACCAAGGTAAATCCAGAAAGATAAAAATGGTTTAAGTCTATTTATCCATCACACTCTTTTGAAATAAGGTTTTCTACAACTATGACTTGTGGAGGTTATGGATCTTGGATGTTAGATATCAACAGTCCTATTTCCCCAAATTCATTAATTTATTTTTGTCTCTTCAAGTAGTAAATATTACTGTTCATTCATTCATGAGTCTTCTGAAATATTTCATTTCTAGAATTATCACCCTCTCTTTCTTCTATTACAAGGACAGTAATATTTAATGGCAGTAGTTTTCCAAAGAAGGATACATTCTGTGCTATGATTTACAGAAAAGCATCTGATGGCATTTCACAGCAGAGATTGGCATTTATACAACAGAAAACAGTCATAACAGTTTTTAAATAAAAAACTTTGTAAAAACAATGGCACAGAGAGATAGTTAGGAGTCATTCCTGCAGTGTAGAATTCAATCACTGAGGACTGTCCATAATTTAATCAAAATACTTAAATGCAATTCTTCCCACATTGTCCATGGGAAGTTTAATATTTTTGTTTATACTTTTCTGCATTTTAAAGGTTTCTATAATGCAAATATGTTACTTTTATCAAGAGAAAAAAAGCAAAACCATTTTTTAAAATGTATTCCACATTGGAATGATCACCTCAAAATTTAGAGGATTATTGAGTAAAAGGTAGATGTTCCTTTGATATTAATCCCCAACAAAAGCCATTTGGGGCAAGATGCCTGCAAAAGCAGGGAGGGTCTGCCATATAAATCAAGCTTGTCCAATCTGCAGTCCAAGAGCCACACGCGGCCCAGGATGGCTTTGAATACGGCTCAACACTAATTTGTAAACTTTCTTAAAACATTATGAGATCTTTTTGTAATTTTTTAAAAGTTCATCAGCTATCATTAGTGTTAGTGTATTTTATATGTGGCTCAAGACAATTCTTCTTCTTCCAATATGGTTCAAGGAAGTCAAAAGATTGGACACCCCTGAAAACCATAGGAAGAGTTTAAGAGTTGGAAATACTCTTGATGAGGCTGCCCTTAAATGGAAAAAACATGTTTATTCTGTGATGTTGGCGAATAACAGTGATTTACCATTTATATATCAAGATATACCAAAATGACACTGCTTTGAGTTATTTCTCCAGAAGAGGCTAGTGGTGCTGGCCCGGAACATAGGCATTAAATTGGAAGATGTCTATCTGGGATTAGGTGTCCAGTTGCTAACTATAAAATACCATCAGTTAACTATTCTATTAGTTTTATAGTCCTTAACCTTGACCTCATTAGCAGACAGTGGCCCTAACTGCTCACTAGCATGCAAGAACGTAGTTAACATAAGGTGCAAAGACTAATGAAGAAAAAGGACAATTTAACAGTGTAAGAGACCTTTCCCAACCAGTCAATGGGCAAGGGATGGCAATTGCTTTCTGGAAATTGTAAGCAGATGAATTATTAAGAACAACTCTCTAAATAAGCAAACGGAAGCATTTTTTTTTTCTGCTTTTCATGCTGCTTATCTGGCCTTGGCAAGCTGTTCATTGATGAGAAAACATTTCTTTAACAACAAAGATTTTAGGAGGTTCCATTATTTTCATGGCCATCTTGATAACCTTTGACAGGCTGAAACACAAACATATAAAGTTGGTGCTTTCATCATCTCTCCCCGCTGGGCACGCATAGCTCTTTTTTTTGGGAGGGGGGGGCAACTAAATTTGGCTTCCTGATGCTAATTGAGGAAAGAAGGCTGGGAATGAAAATGTCTAATTTTTTTTTCCAGTTGCATTGAGGCAGAAACACCTTTTTCTACTCTTCAGTTGTTTTCATTGTTTCCTCCCCTTTTATTCCTTCCATTTGGAGTTGTAGTTCCCCATGCTTTTCCTGCAGAGACCCACACATGCATGTGCCAGCCACTCCCTGGGTGCAGAGGCAGGATAGGTTGCAGGCTGGTAACCCTCCTCCACAACTTTGCGAAGGTTTCACCCACTTCTCTCCTACTCTGAGAGCACATGGGAATGTGTGGGAGTGAGGTGACCTTAGGCAAGGATAATCTCACATCCACTCCAATTTACATGAAAAGTGCTCCATTTGCAAACTTCAGAACTTAATTACTTATAACAAATTACTTGTGGCAAACTCTACAACTGACTGGGGCGGTATGTGACAGTGCTGTGCTTGGGAATGAGAACTGTAATATAGTCCCATTTTCATGACAGAGTGTGGGACAGGGTCTATAGAATTTTGCCACAGTGGGTCCCAAGACCATCCAACCACAGGATTTCATATTCAGAGCAGAAGTGGCTTTGGCAGCGGTGAGTCGGTGTTTAGTCTGTGTAAGAGAAAGATCTTAATTATTTAAGATCTGATGCAAATTAAAAGAATCACCATGTACAGAAATACTGAAACAATCCAGATAAGAATGATACATATTAATACTGAAAAGCTACATTGATCAAGGCACTTACCCTTTTGGTAACTCAGTTTCCTCTCCTTTAAACTGTCAAGGGTAATAGTACTTACCTCATAGGATTGTTAATATCTGTAAAGTACTGTGAATGTTACTTGCCATACAGTAAGTTCTCCGTAAAGGTTAACTCCATTATTATTACTTTCATTACACTGACATGGCCATTTTTGTGGCTAAACTGAGGATGAAAAACATTGCTAGTGTTGCTAATTTTACTAGTTCTAAACTCACCCTAATTATAACATAATAATGAAAGAAAGATGGATATATGGGCATCCTTTAGCCAGTTCAATTTATTGTTGAGTCAGAACGAGATACAGATCAATAGAAAATTCGCCTTTAAAATTATTTCTAGTGGAAGTATAAATCGACACAAACCTTCTAAAGGGTGTTAAGAGCCTTAAAATACAAATACCCCGTGCACCAGCAATTCCTTAACTGTGAATTTATCTTATGGGCACAATCAGAGATGTGTGAAAAGATACATGTGTAAGATTCTTCATCAAACTTATTTATAATACTGAAAAAACGGAACAGCCTTAATGTTTAACAATAAGCTACCATTTAAATAAAGCACGTACATTCATGTGGTAGAACGCTGCACAGACATTAAAAACCATGTTGTCGAAGACTATATATTGACATGGACAAATGTTCACAATATATAACCCAGTGAAAATAGCAGGTTGCAAAGGAGTGTATCATAACAATCCTATTTGAATGTAAGTGTAACAGTTGGACTGAAGTAGATACATGCAAATTTTTTTAATGAAGCTTGCTATATTCTCAAAACTTCTTTGAACCTTAAAATCTACCCAGAGCATATGTCTTATTTTTTGCCCTATTTTTGTGTAGATGGTAGTCTAGTCCACTGATTTTTGTAATCTATTCTTGTTGTTAAAGTCTTTGGCTTTCTCTGTTGACAATTCTGTCAAAATTCAATATCTTTAGCTGTCCTTACTCATAGGTACAAGCTTTCTCTCCCTGAACTAACACTGTCTATCCCAGCTTCACTGACTCCAACCCCAGTGGGGAGGAGAGAGAAATCCTCTTCCTGTGCCTGGGAGCAGCAGCCTCAGTAGTAGGAAGTCCTGTGTCCTGATCTGGTGGCACTTTATTCCGTGGCATCTGCTATCTTGCTGTAGCTGTATGCATGGTTTCCTGAGGCCATGTTCGGCTACATGCCAGCTCCCTCATGGGACTCTTTTGCCCTAGAGGGGCAGCTGTGTGTCCCTTCGGCCCCCACTCAAGTTGCTGTACACCTGTGACCTCTCTACAAAGTTCTGTGCTTCCAGTAGACATCGGGGTCCTCTTCTGTGCCTTCTGAAAGTCGCAGAGAACAGGGGAAGGTATGTCCACTTCCTCCTTCCTCCTTCCTCTTCCAGGCACACTAAAGGATCTCTTCAAGCCACAGTGGCACACATTATGCCATCAAGCCTTCTACCTTCTGAAATTGCAGGGAGCAGGAACCTTCACTCTCAAAGAGACACATGTCAAACAGCTCCCTTACTTTCTGGGGATGTGGTGGGAGGAGTGGGATGGCATGGGATGGTGGAAGGACCGTGGAGCAGAGAGAGACAGTTTGTCATCCCTGAAGGATCCCAGAGAGCCATCCTCAGAATCCCTTCAAGTACTCCCCCTATTTTTTTTAACAAATCAACTATATTAAATTGTATTACATAAGATGAAATGCACCATTATAAATGCACAGTTTGATGAGCATTAACAAATGCATACACTTATGTAAGCACCACAATCAAGATAGGGAACATTTTTATCTGTCCACAAAGTCCCCTCTTACCCTTGTTAGAGAGGCTCTCGTGTCCTATGCACCACTGGTCTTCTTTCTGTCCCTTGAAATATAGTGCACACTTGCTAGCATTGCATGTAAGTAGTATAACACAGCATGTAGGTTCTTGCGTGTGGCTAAGCATGACGTTGCTGAAATTTTATCATGATGTTGCTGTACTTTGTTACCTTTCACTGTTAAGTTGGTTCCCATTATATGGATAATGTGTTTATCCATTCACTGACTGATGGATATTTGGGTTGTTTTTCTGAAGCGGGGGCGGTTATTACAAAGAAAGCTGCTATAAACATCTATGTACAAGTCTTTATTTATGTGGATTTGTGCTTTAATTTCTCTTGGGTAAATACCTAAGACTGGAGTGACTTGGTCATATGATGGTGTATATATAAGTTTATGAAACTGCCAAACTGTTTTCCAAAGTAGTTAGTTG